AAGAATTAAACAGATAGCTAAAAAGACAATCTACTTTGTCTTTCCCCTAATAGCCAACTTTGGTCTCATTGTTATTGATGGCTGAAATACTGTTGTACCAGCCTGTCTTCCTCTTCTCATAGCAAGAAACTGTGACACTAAGATGGATTGTTGTGTCTGGATTCTGGAAGATGACGCTCAGTTTAGTTTGAACTCTTTGGGTTGGTTGGGATTGGATAGTTGGGACTGGAGTTGAACTGTGACACATATTGAACATTTATTTGGCAGCCTATTCCTTGAAACATTTTTTGAATCCTTTCTCTTTTCATCAACCTCCTTGTTTATTCTTCTTTTTGGCCTCTCTGGTGCTCTTCTTGAAGGTGGTGGAAGAAATTGCATGGTAGCATGATATGCCAGTGAGCATCCAACTCTTGCAAGAGCACTCCAACCTTCTGAGATTAATTGTGAAGTTTTCACCAGTCAAACTTGTATGTCTTACTTCATAAATCATGTCACTTGATAACCTTTGAAACAAATGCAATTCATTGAGTTAGTTTTAATAAACTTAAAATATTTGTAAAAGTAATTTGTAAATTGTAAGTTATTTATGTACCTTAGTATAAAAAACCTAGAGATTGTCTTGCCTTCTTTCAAGAAGTAAGTTAGTTGGCCAAGATCTTTCATGTGAAAAGTGGACTGCAACAATTTCTTGATTGATGAGATAGAATCTTGATCAGATCCAGTAACTACAATATCATCCACATATACAAGGAGTAACACAATTCCCTTGGAGGTCTTTTGTATAAAAAGGGAGGGATCATACTGACTTTGTGTGAACGAAAAGACAAGGAGTGTTGTTCAAAAAATTTCAAACCATACTCTCGGGGCCTGTTTCAATCCATATAAATAACACTTCAGTTTGCAAACAACATTAGGCGATGGACAAGGCATACTTGTAGGGGGTTTGATGTAAACTTCTTCCTTGAGGTCACCGTGTAGAAACACATTCCTTACATCCATCTGGTGTAGGTGCCAAGATTTGGATGCAACAATGGCAAGAATAATACGCACAATAGTCATCTTGGCTACAGGTGTAAAAGTCTCCTCATAGTCAAGACCAAATTCTTGCTTATTTCTAAGAACAACCAACCTAGCCTTGTAACGATCTAGTGATCCATCTGAACGAAGCTTCATAGTGAACACAAATTTACTGCCAAGAGGTTTAACATATGGAGGACAAGAAATAACATCCCATGTCTGATTTTCTTCTAGTGCTAGAAGTTATACTTTGATAGCTTCTTGCCATGAGTTGTGCTCCATGGCCTGCTTATAGGAATAAGGAATAGGAACATATGCTAAAGTAGCTGTTAAAAACAAATGGGAAGAAAAACCATATTTTTTCGGAGGTTTACTGACACGAGTACTACGACGTAGGAGAGATGGTTCTGGATTAAGTAATGGACCAGAAGCCAGAGATTGATCAAGAGGGGGTCTAGTATTGAGTAGAACAGTCGGACGTCTTTGGTAAACCAATAGAGGTTTAGGTGTTGATTCTCCTGCAAAAACATTAGAAAACAGTGGCAAAATGGACTTGCATGTAAAAGAGAGAATATCTTGATTAGTTGCAAAAAAAATATGTATTTTCTTGAAATATGACATTTCTAAAAATACGAATCCTACATAGATTAGGATCATAACATAGAAAACCTTTTTGGTTGGTTGAGTAACCAAGAAAAGCACATTTAACAGATTGAGCCGTGAGCTTAGTACATTCTTATGGGAGGAGATGAACATAACATACACAACCGAAAGTGCGAAGATTGGAATAAATGGGTGTGTGACCAAAAAGTTGTGAGCAAGGAAAATCATTATTTAAAGATTGAGATGGTAACCGATTAATAAGGTGGTCATCGGTGGAGAGTGCATCACACCAAAATCGTGGTAGCGCAAAGGATTCCAACATGAGAGTATGAACAACATCAAGAAGATGTCGATTTTTTCTTTCAACTACCCCATTTTGTTGAGGTGGGGAAGGACACGACCTCTAAGATAAAATACCATTGACCTGCAAGAAATCTTGGAATAAATGAGATGTGTATACCATTCATTGTCAGAACGCAAAATTTTGATTTTGGAAGAAAATTGAGTTTGAACATAAGCATGAAATTTTGTGAAAGCGAAAAATGCTTCATTTTTAGAGTGCAAAAAATAGACCCATGTGAAACGACTATAGTCATCAATAAAAGTGATAAAATATTTGTAATTTGCATGAGATACAACAGGTGATATCCCCCATAAATCACTATGAATCATATCAAAAGATTGATTTGTATTTGATTGATGAATAAAAAATCGTAGACTTTTACTTTTACCAAGTTTACAAGAATTGGAATCAAATTGAATAGCAATAAAAGGAGAATTTTTATTACCAAGAACACCAGATTTCACTAAGTCATGAAGTATATATGAACTTGGGTGACCAAGACGCTAATGCCATATTTGAAAATCAACAGTAGCCTAATTACAAGAAAAAAAATTAATAAAGAGCATGGAGACAAAGATAAATAAAGAGGAAAAAGACGTCCAACTTTAGGCCCCTTCGTAATCAGTTTCCCCGAGTGTTGATCCTGCACAAGACAACCATATTTTGAGAACTCAACTCGGCAACTATTGTTAACTAATTGTCCGACAAAAATAAGGTTACTACTGAGACCAGGGGAAACATAAACATTGGTTAAAGATGAAGAAATATCACCAATTTCTGTGATAGGTAAGTTATTCCCATCATCAGTGTGAATTTGAAGATCACTGGAATATCTTGTAACGTTTGTAAGAGTATCAGCATTGTTGGTCATGTGATTGGAGGCCCCATAGTCAAAATACCAAGGAGAATAGGGGAGATGAGGTTTACCTGAAATTCCTAAAGCATAAAAAGCTAAAATTATCATTTGTTGAACCATCTCAGGAGTTAGGTTCTGAATATTGGTGGAAGCAATCTGATCCATACTACCAGTAGCAGAAAAGGAACTAACAGAGGCAGTAAATGCGGGTACAATTTTCTTTGGTGGTCTTCTAGGGCATTCCTTAATGATGTGACCTTCTTTTTGCAGTAGTTACAAAATGTTTTAGGACAGTGTGAAGCAAAATGTCAAAGTCCTTTGCAGCAGAAACATTGGACAACACTTATATCTCGTCCTCTAGGCTTGCCTTGTATAGCGTATGCAACTGGAATAAAAGAAGATTTATGTTGCTCCATTGTTGTTTGAGTTAGAAGGCGTTGTTCTTCACGAAGAAGCTCATTAAAGCATGCATCCAAGGTGGGGACAAAGGCTCTATTCATGAGATTGGACTGGATACCTTCAAAATCAGATCTCAATTCGTAAGAAATTGATCTCTTTGTGTAGTTTCATGAACTTTTTGCACTGCAATTTGATCAGTAGCTGACAAATCTTCATAGACAATGTTAGTGTATTCAGCCCAAAGATTGATGAAATGAGAATAAAATTCAGAAATTGAGAGACTATCCTGTTGAGAAATGGAAATGTCGTGTTCTAGCTAGAATCTGCGAGTGTTGTTATTTTGGCTGTATACTTTTTTCAGATAGGCCCACATCTTTGTTGCAGTGTTAAATAGCCTAAGATTGAGAACAATGGTAGAATCAATAGAGCCTATGATCCATGCCATGACTTAACCATCTTTGACTACCCATTTGACATGCTCTTCCTTATGCTTCTCTTTGTCAGGAGTAGGCTTGATGCTGTCAACATGACCCCAAAGGTCTTTACCAGTGACAAATATCTGGAACTGAAATGCCCAAGCTGAGTAGTTCTTGTCATTCAGGCGAATAAACAAAATATCATATTTGTCATACTTTTCGCTAGACATAAGGCCGAGGGAAAAAAATGACAAGGACAAAAAACTAGATCTGGACAGACTCGAGAAAGACAAGAGACTAAGACTTTTGGACTGAAATAGGGAAATATCGAAACCTAGACTGATACCATGTCAAACATAAAATGTATCATAAACTATATGTTCAGCTGTTGTATTATTTCTCTTTATATATAGTGTATACAATCTATTTCCATAATTAAGGATATGCTAATAATAATTACATAATTACAACTAATAATAACTAATATTATGCTAATAATGAGGAAATTATCATGTCATTATTCTGCTAATAATAACCAATATTATGTAATCAATTCCATTGACAAAGATGTCTTGCCTTCTTTCAAGCACTTTTTTAATTCTTGAAAGAACAAACTCACTATACTCTTCAATCCTGGCTCTATTAGTTACCCATCTATCCATGAGGTACCCTCTAATCACTTCCATCATTATTACTATTGGCTTTTGTCATGGTCCAATTATAACACTGTTAAAAGTTTCAGACATATTGTTCTCCAACACATCACTTTTTGTATTGTATTTGAACATAAACTTACTCCAATATCTTGGAGGAACCTTCAACAAGTGTTTGAATGCCTCCTCACTAACCTTCCTCATTTTCTTCATCTCCATTTCCCATGCTTGAGGATATGTTGCATTGACTGCCCTCCACATCAATTCCTTTAATTGTTTCCCTAGAAACCTTTTTTGAAGTTGCTATAAAGGTGTCTAACACAAAATCTCTAGTCAACTCCAGGTAACAACTCATCTATTACAGGTAACAACCCCTAATCATAAATTAAACACACTTTGTTACAATGCACACATGACATATATGGAAGAATTTAAAATCCTGAAGGACAACACTGTGACATTTTAAAATCATGAAGGACCTGAATGTTACATATTTATGACACTTTGTAGCCATGCTCAAATGACATTTATGTTACAAATTAAAATCATACATGACATATATGGTACAATTTAACATCATGAAGAACATAAATGTTGCAAATTATAAACATGAAGGACTTGTATGTTATCTTCTGCTGATCTAAAATAAATGTTACATTTTTACCAACATCTGGCCATCATAAGTCACAAACTAGCAGATCAAAGAACCATGCTCAGGATTCTTTAGTCTCTGCATCAACTATAGCCACTGCAATAGGCAACATTTGATCATTTGGGTCTCTTCCTACTGTTGCAAGGATCTGGCCTCCATAAATGCCTTTTAGAAAACATCCATCAACTTCAATTATTGGTCTGCAATCTGCAAAACTCTTCTTGCAAGCATCAAGGCACATATACAATCTATGAAAACTTGGTAGTAATGGTCTACTAACATATTCTTCAGGTTGTTGATCAAGTTTAAATGGTTGTTGTTCAGTTTCTTGGACATTTAACTTGATGGTGTTGTTTGGATTTGACCTCAATACCTCATATCCGTAGTCATACAACCTTAACAATTGCTCATTGAATGACCCTTCAACAATATTCAGTGTTGTCTTCTGTGCCCTATAAGCCTTCATCCTACTCATACCAGTATTCTATTTCTCATTCACTTTTTCATATATAGCAGTCTGCTTAACATTATGGTTGATTATAACTGTCGTGTACAATTTCATCCCAAGCCAATTAGAATTAAACATTCTAACATTGAACTCTCTATTACAAGTGTGAATGTCATTTATTATTCTCAATTGCCATGTATCTGCATTAGGTAATTTGGAATGTAAGGCCACCCATGGACAACCTTCCTTGCAACCAACTCTAACCTTAGTATTGTCATTCTTTACATACCTTAAATCCCTTCTATTATGAACAACATAACTAGAAATAGATTCCTTGAACTCCAAGATCAATGACATCTTCATCACTTGATGCTTCATCACTTCTGATGGGAATTGAACTTCCTTCATCCACACTTTTTTCTTAGGTCTGGCCTTGTGCCTTTTGGAACTAACTTTTGACTTCTTCTTTGATGGTCTCCCTCCCTTCCTCTTTCTATTAGGATTTGTTTCATCTGCTAGTATATCAATATTAGGTTGATCACTTTGGCCTGCAAGTAACACTCCTTTTCCTACCACGTTTTCTTCAACCAGCTGGTCCCCATACACATCCACATTTTGTTCCTTATCTTGGTCCACCCAATGCTCCACATTTTCTCCCCCTTAGTCTTAGACCAGTTCAATGCTTCTATTGCACCAAAATCATCTTCTAGCGCCTTCAATATTCCAGCAAAGTCATACCATATTTCTTGAACTCTTGGATACTTCATTTCTTTAACAACCCCAATATTTCAAAATAACTCCGTCTGTCACTTCACCTCCTATATATTTGTCATCAACGAAATACCCCCATGATGAAATTCAACATAAAACTCATCCATAACCATTATGTTCCTGTATACATCAACCTAAAATAAGAAACATACCCTACAATTGAAACTAACATTACTTATAAGTAACATTAACCTAACCATCAACCTAAGTTCTATCACGTAGGAATGTGTAAGTGTGTGTACCTAAATGTGTAAGTCTACCTCTAAGTGTACGTAATATAACTATTTAAATAACGAGAACCACAGAACATAACCATCATTGCGTAAGTGTACGTACCTAAATGTAGCCTGAACGCAAGGGTTTATTCACCTTCAATGTATTTTGAACGCAAGAGGAAGAAGAACCTTCACCAACCATAACAGTCTTAATCAGCAAGGTGGAATAGAAAATTAGGGTTCTGTAACCTAAATTTGGGGATTACACATACTTAAACACTTGAGGAATAACACAGATGTCAATTCAGCAACCGTCTATGACACTTCAGCACTGTTAACTGCCTATTCATCTCCGTTTATGCCACATATGCTTTTTTAGAACGGAGATTCTAAAAAAGGTTAAGGATGCACACATTACTTAACATATAGGACCCAATTGTTATATAAAAAAACTAAAATGACTAACTTGTTATTTTAAAATAACTTAAATGACCTAAACAATATTTTTGCCTTATCTTTTTTTATATAAACCTGATTTTAAATTGGTTAATTTATCAAAACTTTTTTTAAGTTAGTTATTTATAAACTTAGATGAAAAACAAGTTATGTTTGATTAAAATTTCATTTATATTTTCAAAACTAATTTTGAAGCCAATTTTTTTAAAAAAATAATTTTAATTGACCACTTACATTCATATTCCTTCCATGAGTAATAAAATATGTATAAGTTTTAAATACAAAGAGCAAAATAGTTTATAAAACTTTCTTAACAAAAAAAACTGAAAAATGTGAAAACATATAATAAAACTGAATATTCTTTTTCGTTTCTTTTAAATACAATGAGCAAATATCTAATAAAACAGTTTATAAAAGGCAAAATTATTGTTTTAGTCTTTTAAGTTATTTTAAAATATCAAATTAGTCCCTTAAATTTTTTTTTTGTAATGCTTTGGTCCCTTTTTAAAAATCTCCGGTATAATAAATTGCAAACTCATATACCATTTGAACTGGTTTTTCGCGCTGATCATGAATATGCAATCAAATTTATCAAAAAAGTTACCGTTCATGAGAATCAGGTAAAAATGGACGAAATACATAATGAAAAATTAACGATCCGACCAAAATACACAATCAAACGAAAAACTAATTACATATTCGTGATCAGCGTGAAAAACTAGTTCAAATGGTATAGGAGTTTGTAATTTATTGTAACAAAGATTTTTAAGAAAGGACCAAAGCGTTACAAAAAAAATTTAAGGGACTAAATTGATATTTTAAAATAAATTAAAGGACCTAGACAGTAGTTTTGCCTTTATAAAAATAAAAAAGAAATTGAAAATGTGAAAACATATCATAAAACAAATTATTTTTGTCGTCTCTTATCTTTAACTCAATATCTATTTTGGTCTCTTTATTTAAATAGATCATTTTGTTTATTTATTTCTTTAAATCAGACCTTGTTTGTCATTTTTGTTAGCTTTGTTAGTTAAAATAAAACCTAACGGTCTACTAATGTCTATATGATATTGATTGGAGATTAAATTAAAAAAACACATCAAATTAAAGGAAAAGGCTCAAATTGTGTTACTATTTAGAAAACTCTAAGACACGAAAAGGCTCATAGAGAAGATGGTGAAGACGATGGAGAACACAAATGCATAGGTGAAATTGAAGGGGAGAAAAGTAATTTTTGGAAAATACGTTGCACAAATGCATTAGAAGCTACAAATTTCACAACAGTTAGTAATTTTTAACCCATTTCTAGTTTAGGTTTTATGAATTTTGCGTACATCTGTTTTAGGTTTTAGGACTTTTTTTGTTCATATGTTTTATGCTTTAGGTTCTAGGATTTTTTTCTCGTGTTCATCTATTTTCTATTTTAGATTTTATGGTTCTTGTGTAGCTCTGTTTTAGGTTTTAGTAATTTTGCCCCCTTTCTAATTTTAATTTTGTTGAGCACAAGTTAAAATAAAATAATACCTTCATCTATTTATTCTTCATGGTGAGTCATTTTTGGATAATGAATTAAGTATATATGAAGGAATAATTTATAAATTAAAAATTAATGTTGTTAAGTGGAGTTATTTTGAGTTGGTATGCATAGTCAAAGAGTTAGGATATAGGGAAATAGAAACGATATGGTACAAGGACCCCACATTTGGGATGCATGTTTTGGACAATGACAAAGGTGCACTAGATATTGCAGATCATTGTAAGGTGCATTTGAGTGTTGATATTTATATACAACACCCATTGTCTCAGTACGAGTCTTATTACAGTCCTCTCGAGGATGAAGAGTTAAATTCAGAGGACATTGTAAATCTTGAGAAGAAAGAAGGTTTGCATTCTAAACTTTATGAAGAAGTAGTTAGGGAGGACTGTGAGGTGCATGGTGGTGATGTTCACGATGATAAAGGGCAAGCTGATGAGGTGCATGGTGGTTATGTTTTAGATGGCGAGGGGTAAGATGATGAGTTGTAGGGTGGTGGTGTTCAAGATGGTGAGATGTAAGATAGTGAGGTGCATTATGGGTTGGACAATAATGAAGGTAATTCATGTGTGATGAATGAGGGTGGCATGATTGGTTATATAAGTGAGGATGATAGTGATGATGGAAATTTTAATTATGGTAGTGCATTGGATATTGCATTTGATGATTATGATGACAACGACGATTTTGTGGAAAAGGAAATGTATAATCTACTTGATTATGACAATGCTCAAAAGGGTACTAGCAAAAAACTAAACACAAGAAGGAAGTTAACAGGATTGAAAATGACAGTGAGGAGTTCGAAAATGGATGTGAAAGTGATGAGAATAGTGGAATAACTAGGAAGTATCAAATTTTCAAGTTGCATAAAGACATAGTAAAATATAAATGGGTGTTAAGAACATAAAAGGCCAAAATTCATCTCAAATCCACTCCATGTGATCTAAGGTTTAAATCAACTTATACGAGAAAGCAAGGTACACTTTCTGATCTTCATTTTTCAATATACTCATCTTAAATCTTGAATTAACTTGGGAATTGGAGTGTTAACCATAGAATTTTATCCCGCGCCGCCGTACCAGAGATTAACACCATTAGTTCAAGAGGTTCAGTTTGTTAACCACATCCATTTTTTGGTTCCTGAACGAAACATTGGGGTCATCTATGTGAATAGAATTTTGATTCCTACGATTTCCACAATCTCATATTCAATCTTTGATTTACTAATTCGTAGCCTATTCATATCACTAAATCAAGAGCATTATGAATTGAACACAGGGAACCTTCACAGTTGTTCCAATTTGCTATTGTTTCAACCGCGACTCATAAGATCTCCATCGGGAACTCCACGAAGGAAAATAAGAAATATTCCTAGATTCAAATCCAGATCATCACTGAAAACATTAGAAATTGAAGGCAATTTCCTTGGAGATGACGCCAAAGATTCATGGTCCATCTTTTAATCTAATATCTCTTCTATCCCGCTTCCAACGCGATACTTACCGTGGTGGCATTGAAGATACGATGATTTCATATTTAATGAATGACATAGATCTTATATAAGAGTGCCTCCTATGGATACCAAACGATCTCCCACCGCTGAACATGACCTCCAAAGGAACCTCTGTCATAAATTATCTGCGATCCCTCGCCCGACATCGTTGTTCCTTGTAAGGATTACCAAATGAAAAGAGCATGTAGAGTTCCTTTTGTGAAGGTAGGGGAAGAGACCTCTCAAGGAACTTCACATTCATTCAACCATGTTCTTGACTTTAAAAGACCCAAGTGTAACCCCAGAGATAAGGTAAAGCAGTTTTATAGTTGAAGGTTCACTTATCTAGTCATTGTATTGTCTCATTGTAATAAGTTTATTTCATTATAAATGAAAATATTTGTCTGCTATTTTCCCTATTGAACTCTTTTCTATCTATCTCTCTTCAGTACCCTTAAGGCGAGAAGATAAATATTACACGCATGTCTGTGTAGCCAATATAGACTACACGCGTTTATGCGTATCTGATATGGCTTAAATGCATTTCCGTATTTTCATG